CATGGTGCCATCCAGATCCCCATCATGGGTGCTCCAGGTTGTGCCTGAGAAGTGCTGGTGTTTCTGTCCCCCCCCAGAGCCCGTGTCTCGCCCTCGGCTCTGGACCAGTGCCCTGGTGGCCCGGGCTGCTGGGGAGCTGCTCTGCAGCGTGGCAGAGGGCAAGGTGGACACCATCACCTGGCAGAAAGATGGGCAGCCCCTCCCCCTGGGCACGGCCTCCCACCCCTCCCACGGCCTCAGCATCTTGTACCTGAGCTCGGCCAAGAAGTCAGACTGTGGCTCCTACTCCTGCAACGCCAGCAACGAGATCAGCTGGCAAGAAGTGTCCCTGGATGTCACCATTGCAGGTGATCACTGCTGGGGTTTTACCTCCCTCTGCTCTTCCTGCTCTCCACTCTTCCCTGGGGATCCCTTCCCTCCATCCCCTGCCTCCAGCCCCCAGGGTCTGGCCACCCTGAGGCTGTGACCCATGGGCTGTTGACATGAGGTCCCCATCGTAGGGTGATCAGCAGCAATTCCTGGTCTCTGGTCCCAGCAAGGCACAGACCATGGCAGGATGAGTGGCTGGAGATTGGCCCTTGGCCATGGTGGTGGGAGCAGGACCAGGGCTGGGCTGGGGGCTGGGAAGCCAGTGGGCAGCACAGATCCCAGGCTGGACATTCCAGGAACCACAACCTGCAGCAGGCAGGGCTGGTTTGGCCACCAGCAGGCAAATAACCCGAGTCTGTCCTGGTGATGGAGGAGCCCCACGACCCACCAGAGCCCCCCGTGCTGGTGCTGCTGGTGGCCTGAGCCCTGCCCCTCGGGTTTGTTTTCCCCAGGTCTCTCCCCTGCCCTGCAGGATGCCCTGAGGGCTGCAGTGGTCGCTGTGATCTTCGCTGCCGTCTCCGGATGGGGGTTGATTTTTCCCGTCTGCCAGTCTGAAAAGCTGAGGATAAGTGAGTCTGGAGGGGGTGGGAGGGTGTGAGCCCACCTGGCCCTTGGCTGCTGGGGGGGAGCAAGGAGCATGTCTGTGGGACCAGCTGGTCATTGGCTCATTCCCCCTAAGGGGAACAGGTTCCAGCTGGAAAAGGGGAGGTTGAGATGAGATTTTAGGAAGAAATTCTGGGCTCTGAGGGAGGTGAGAGCCTGGCCCAGGTTGCCCAGGGAAGCTGTGGCTGCCCCATCCCTGGCAGTGTTGAAGGGCAGGTTGGATGGGGCTTGGAGCAGCCTGGGCTGCTGGGAGGTGTCCCTGCCCATGCAGGGGTGGGACTGGATGGGCTTTGAGGTCCCTCCCACCTCAAACCAGTCTGGGATTTGATGATAATTCCCTTTCCAACCATTTCAACTTGTCTTCACCTCATCTGGCGGGTCCTTATAACAGTGGAGAAAGGTTTCCCTGGCAAATTTTAACAGCAAAACCCGATTTTGCTGAGTTCTCAGGCCGGGATGGGTCCTGGCACCTCCCACACATTTTTGTCCTGGGGGTTGAGGCTCCATTTCTCAGGGGGTCTGTTCACCCCACTGACCGGGGGGCACAGAGCCCTTTGTCTGACCCACAGCGAGCGGCTCAAAGCCCCCCCCCTGCCCCCAGCCCTGCCCAGGGGACACCCCCAGGCCCTGGGTGGGGTGGGCTGGGTGGGCTGTGGCCAGGGGTGCCCAGAGCC